ATCGGTATGTTCTTCCAAGACGGACTCACCGGCTCCGCGTGGGGTGACTGGGCCAACTACACGGACTCCCCTCTCCGTGCCTTTGAAGGAACCCTGGGCTTAATTTTAAAAACAGGCAACATCTGTGATTGTATCAGCCAGAACCATGGCGAATCATAAGGCGTTGTAGCGTCGCCCTACTTGTAGCCGCAAATGAGTCTGAGCGTTCACCACGGAGTTACAGTTTCACAGAATCGGACGTGTGCCAGTCTCGACCTTTCCGCATGGCCATGTAGCATACCCCTGCAAGGAGAGCTGGGTGTGCAGGCACCTGTGGGATTTTGGGATCCCCTTGGCCTTTCCGCCGATGGCGACATGGACACGTTCAAGCGACGAAGGGCCGTCGAGCTGAAGCACGGACGCATCTGCCGCTTAGTTTATATAGAAGTCTAAACAACGACCAACATTTTTTCCTTTAGGGCCCCTCGTTACAGCTCCGCTAAGAAGGAGCCCAAAGCCTACTCTAATCTTGAAGGCCCCTAGCTGATCGCAGAGAGTCGGGGCTTGAGGGTAGTCCCGGTCATGCCCGCAGCACTTGCTTGGCTTAGGCATGTTGGCTTGCACCGGCTACATCATCCCGGAGTACTTCAGATGGCCGGGATTCCTGTGCCTCGACTTTGCTGTTTTTGTCGGGCATGGACTGGAGAGTCTTGTCGGTCTGAGGGTGTTTTGGGGTGCTGGGGGCTTCTGGGTTTCGGGGCTTGTGGGGCTTGCTAGGGCTGGAGGCTCTAGAAGCCGAAAAACCACCCGAGGCCCTAAGCCCCAAAGGGTTTAGGCTTGGGACTTAGGAGTCTTTTGCAGAATAGCATTGATCTTGGCAGCAAGAAAAGCCCTCATGAACCCCCCGAGCCCCATCTTTCATGATGCAGCCCATTTATATGATAGACACATCCTATACTCATCTATCTATCTTTCGATCTATAGATTTATTTATTTGTTTACATCTACATATATACACATATATATATATGCACATACACATATTTATATATATATATACATGTATATGTATATGTACATATATTTACATTTATATATATATATTTGTGTATATATATATATATGTAGCCATGCATACATATACTATGCCGTTGTACCTATATGCTTCAGTTTTGAAACCACTGCTTTGCCACTGAGGTCCCCAGAGAAGGGCCTCAAGTTCAGCGAGATGCCGCACGGAATTGCAGCGATCTCCAAGGCGCCCAAAGCCGAAAAATCCGAAAAAAAGAACTCGAACCCACGACTCCAAGTGCAACGACCCTAGATGGTATACCAAGACTTGTCAACCGTAAACCCCGAAACCCTAAACCCAAAGCCCTTGAACCCTCACAAGCCTAAACCCCCTTTTAACCCCTGAACCCCTTTTTTCCCTTGGCCCTAAATCCGCAATTCGCACAACCCTCAGCCCGAGACCACGAAGGACCTGCCATCCCCCGGCCTCAACCCTAAGCCCTGTCTCGACCTCAAAGGGTGCCGGGTTTAGGGTTTAGGGTATGTAGGGTTTAGGGTGCAGGGTTTAGGGTTTAGGGTATGTAGGGTTTAGGGCGTAGGGTTTCGGGCTTAGAGTATGTAGGGTTTAGGGTGTAGGGTTTAGGGTGTGCTTTATAGAAATTGAAAGCATGCAAGGTACTTGCATATTTTTGTGGGAGATTGTGCCCCAGGCCCCTATTCCAATGTCTTGAACCCAATGCTGTTTCTCGCATCTCCGAAAGCTGCCAGCCTAGAGGTACCACTGGAGGGCTGGCTGCAGATCGTGCTCTTCATCGGCCACTACGAGGGTTACTTCTGGCGGCAGGCTGTGGAGGGGCGAGGGTGGAGGGCGGAGGGCTTTTCGTTGATCATGCAGGCTTGCACATGTTCTCATGATTGGTAGAGCGGTGATAAGTTAGGCATGCCAATGAGCCGGGGAGGAGCATGATGATGCTTTTGCAATGGGGAAAGACATGGCCGTGGTGATTCTTCGATGAGGAAAATGAAATCATGATCATTGATAGTGATAGTGGCAGCGATGATGGTGATGATGACGACGATGATGACGATTCCGATGGAAAGTTAGACTGACTGTGACAGTGATTATGACATTCATGTTGACGGTGGTGGCGATGACGACCATGATAGTCGTTCTCGTTGCTGTAGTCTCAGATGCAGTAGGCGCCTTCGTCCTAGTAGCAGCAGTGGCAGTAGCAGTAGCAGTAGCAGTAGCAGTCCAGTCGCAGTCGCAGTCGCAGTCGCAGTAGTAGTAGTAGTAGTAGTAGTAGTAGTAGTAGTAGTAGTAGTAGTAGTAGTAGCAGCAGCAGCAGTAGTAATAGTAAAAGTAGTAGTAGTAGTAGTAGTAGTAGTAGTAGTAGCAGCAGTAGTACT